GGAGGGGAGTAACCCAGACTGTGTGCTGGGGCAGGAGGGCAGGAAGGGGGGGGGGTGCCCAGAATGCGTGCTGGGGCAGGAGGGCAGGGGAGAGGTGGAGCAGACTCCAATCTCCCCATGTAGAAGCCTAGGTTCTGACCCTTCCATGCTCTCTCTCATCTCTGGGGGTCCCTTCAGGAGGACAGCAAGCATAGGGATTCAGGAGAAGAGGGAGGGCTGGGTCAGTAGTAGTTGTCTTTCTGGCCAGGGGCCTCTGGGTGACTCTTGGTGTCCGGTACCAGCTCCAGGTCAGGGTCCTCATCCTAGGGGAGAGGAGGGATACACAGACATCAGACTTCAGCGGGGATGGTGGAAGTAGCAAAGAGTTTAGTCGGAAGACCTGCATTCAAATACTGCCTCTGCCACTTAGAATCACAGACTCCAGGGTCTTGGGCTGGCAGGGCGCTCAGAGACCATCTCGTCCAGCCTCCTCACTTTCCAGGTGAGGTGGACAGCTCCCATGATTTGCTGAAGGTCACAGGAAACATCAGAGGAAAACTCTGAACCCAAGCCCTCTGACTCCAAAGCCAGTGTGCTCCCTACTAGTGGAGGGAGCCTGGGCAGGTCACTGGGCCTCTTGAGCCTCGGTTTCCTTCTCTGTAAAGTGAGGGGGTCAGACTAAATGAACCCTAAGGGCCCTTCCAGCTCTAGAATTATGATCTTATGCTTGTGTTTGTACCCCAATACAGCACAGGACCTAGCACACTGTAAGGGACTAATAAATCCTGGTTTCCATCTTTCCTTATGAAGCTAAGGAGAAAGACCAGTACCTTCCTCCTAGGCACTGGTCATGACTTCCAGACCTCTGGCTCCAGAACAAGACTGAGGAGGGGGGAGCATCTCATAGCCCACCATTATCCCAACCACTGACCTATCTGGGAGGCCCCAGACCAACACCCTAAGTGGCCCAAGCCCCTCAAAGCCCCCATTACGTCAGGCCTTACCAGTCCCTGGTCATCCTGGTAGTCATTCAGTAGCTCTGTGCCAGTCCTGTGGAGTCCTGCTCCAGCCTGGGGTCCCGAACCAGGGGACAAAAGTCATCAGGCTGGGCTTCTGAGAGCATCAGCATCTCAATCGGAGTGGCTGGCGCCCCCCTCCCCTGCCCCTGGCTCCACCTCATTCATCACCTGGCCCTTGTTCCTGGGGCTCCTCAGTGTGCTGGGGTCTTGGGGCCCCCTCTTCCAACCGTGGCTGATCTACCACTGCCTCTTCAAATTCATCCTCGCCCTGGTTGTTGGGATCGCGGGCGGGGTCTGCAAGGGCATCAGGCCCCTGGACAGAGAAGCAGGAGTGGGCAGAGCACTCCAGGTACCACTCCAGACCCCCCCCCCAGGCACTCAGGCCCCTGGGATCTGTACTCACCACTGGGCCTTGGGCCTCTGGCTCCGTCCTGGGCTGTAGGTTTTCCTCCTGCTCAATCATGCCAGCATCTGGGGGTGTGGGAGGGCAGAGGGATCAGCCCCACTACCTTAACTGGGGTGTTATGCCATCTAGCCAAAGGCCCAGTCTGCCCATTCCATGCCCAGAAAGGGAGTCAGAGTATGGGAGAGGATGATGCCACCTCCCCTAGTCATCCATTATGCTGGGGGCCCAGCCAGGAAGAACACCATCAATTCTGGGCTCCAAGCCTTTAACAAATGTGGCTGACTTTTCAACGGGCCTTGGATGAAGTCATGGGGGTGGGGGTGGGGGTGGGGGGCTGGGAAAGAATATCTGACCAGGAGTGCTGGGCTAGCCAGCTTCTCTGGCTCTTATCTTTCCAATCCATTTTTCCACACAGCAGATTTGTTTTTCTAGTTCATGGGTCTAACCCTGCCACCTTCCTGCTCAGGAAGCATCAGTGACCCCCTCATGCATCTAGGATAAAATACAACTCCTTAGCCTGGCATTTAATGCCCTTCACGATCTAGAAGTCTGTGCCTGGATCATCTGCATTTATTTTGCATATGTGTTTTCTCCTGGGAGAGAATGTAAGCTCCTTGAAGGCAGGAACTTTTTATCTTTGCAAGCTTAGTGCCTAGCAAAGTGCTTGATACAGTTAGCTAGCATTTATACAGTGCTCTATGCAAAGAACTTTACATATGTTAATTCATTTGATTCTCACAATCCCATTTTCAGGTGAGTAAACTGAGACAGAGAGTAGTTAAGTGACTTGCCCAGGGTCTCACAGCTAATAAGTATCTGAGGTAGGATTTGAATTCGGGTCTTCCTGACTCCAAGCCCTATTCTCTATCCACTGCAACATCTAGCTGCCTGGCACACAGCTGCTACTTAATAAATACCTGGTGATTGATCACAAGACCTTTCTAGACTGAAAGCCACAATGACCTACTATGTGTTCCTTGTACATGAATTTCAGTTTCCCACCTGAACCACCTATGTGCCTTTGAACTCAGGCTGTTCCGTATACCTGGAATGCCCTCCTTCCTCACCTCTGCCTTGTGGAATCCCTCACTTCCTTCAGAGCCCAGGTCCAGTGTCGCCTCTTATCCAGAGTCTTAGCTCCCCCATTGGTGGTGATCTCTATTCCCCCCCAAATTACTTTGCATCCTTCTATATTTTATATTTCCTTATCTAGGTACCTGTTCTTCTCTCCAGTAGAATGGAAGCTCTTTGAGGGTAGGAGCTATTTCACATTTGTCTTTGTATTGCTAGTGCCCAGCACATAGTAGGTGCTTAAAAAATGCTTGATGACTTGAAGTGAAAGAGAGCCTCATCAGGGCAATCCAATAAAAGTAAACTCCGTGCTGGTTCCTATGATTCCCTTTGGCTGCTTCAAGAAAAGGATGGAGGTAGCAACTTCTAGGACTGTATCCCAAAGAGATCATAAAAACGAGGAAAGGACCCACATGGACAAAAATATGTATAGCAGCTCTTTTTGTGGTGGCCAAGAACTGGAAATTGAGGGGATGCCCATCAATTGGGGAATGGCTGAACAAGTTGTGGTATGTGCATGTAAAGGAATACTATTGTTCTATATGAAATGATGAGCAGACAGACTACAGAAAAACCTGGAAAAACTTGTATGGACTGACACGGAGCAAAGTGAGCTGAACCAGGAGAATGTTGTACACAGTAACAGCCACGTTGTACGATGACTGACTTTGACAGACTTAGCCCTTCTCAGCAATGTAAGGATCTAAGACATCTCCAAAGGTCTCCTGATGGAAAATGCTATCCACACCCAGAGAAAGAACTATGGAGTCTGAATGCAGATCGAAGCACACTATTTTCACTTTCTTTGTTTTTTTTCCCCGCTGTTTTTCCCTTTTGTTCTGATTCTTCCTTCACAACATGACTAATGTGGAAATGTGTTTAACATGATCACACATGTATAACCTATATCAGATTGTCTTGGGGAGGGGGGGAGGAAGAAAAATTCGAAACTCAAAATTTTATAAACAATGAACTATCTTTACATGTAATTGCGAAAAATAAAATACTACTTACATTAAAAAATATCTCCTGACATGTAACTATGTGTCCTAACTTGCAACAATGTATCCTGATGCTAACCAATATGCCTAAGGATGTGTAACAATGTATCCCAATATATGCCAATGTATGTCCCCAGACTAGTGACAATATGTCCCCTTCAGCAAAGGGCTCAGAATAGAACCATCAGGGCATTCATTCCATTTCACCAGGGGCAGGAAACAAGGCCATCTGGCCCCAAAGAACCCCTAAGCCCCAGGGGTCATTGATTCATAGAACAGAACTGGAAGGGACCTTGGAGATCCATCTGGTCTAATCCTCTCATTTTGCAGATAAGGAAATCAAAGGCCACTGGGGTTTGGGGGAGGGGGGGCAGAGAAGGAGGCTGACTTGCCCAAAGTCTCACAGACAGTAAGGGCCAGGGTTGGGATTAGAATCCAGGGCCCCCAGATCCGTGAAGGCCCTTTCTGTACCCTGCAGCCCGACTGGTCTGGGTCTGGGTCTGGCACACTTACCCATCTCCAGCTCCTCCTCATCAGGTGCTACTCTCCCGTGGTCTTCTCTGTCAGGTGCTGGGCGCTCTACCCCTTCTCCTGGATTGGCGGGTAGAAGAGGCTGGTCCTGCCTCTGGGGCTGGCTGCTCGGGGGAGACTGTTGGCTCTTCTCTTGGGCGTTCACTTTGTTGACGATATCTTGCCAGCTGGGGCATGGAAAAGGGGGTTAGGGCTAGGTCTCAGGGAGGGTCCAACAGTTAGAGACAGCTAACAACCCCTATTCTAGCATTGTAAAGTCTGCAAAGCACTCTATTGGCATGATCTCATTTGCTCCCTCTAGCAATCCTGCGAGGCAGGAACTACAGTTGATCATTCCCTGTGGTACTGAGACTCAAAGAGAATGAGTGATTTACCCATGATCAGGGAGTTCCTAAATGGACCCTTACCTCAGGTTTTTCTGACCTCCTCTCCATCCATCACTCCCTCTATGCCAGAGTCTCAAAAGCAGCATTTCCCAAGCACTTTCTGGGTGTATGATACTCTTGGTATATATTGACTAAAACTACAAACAATGATCCACAAGCCCTGAAATGTGGCCCAGATGGGGGAATGAGGGCTTTAGAGCTGGTGGGGACCTTTGAGGTCATCTAGTCGCTTTCCCTCATTGGCCAGATGAGGAAACTGAGGCCTGCCCAGGATTCAACTCTAGGTTCTTTGGTTCCAAATCTAGTCCTTGGAATTGGGAAGAAAACAAAAATTTAAGCCAACATATATTCCAAAATTGCCATATGCGATAAACATTTTGGATATTAAATATATTTACTATATAAGTGGAGAAAGTAAGCCTCAACATTTTCTCCTGGAAAGAGCCCCCAGCTCTGCCTTACATGTATCTTTTGAAAAGCACTCCAACATTGAAGAACCAGGCTGTTCAGACACTATCGCTAGTGCCCGACTCTACAGTGAAGAGTTCTGGCAGAGATCCTGTTGCTTGGCACCAGGAAGGACTTCTCAACTGCTGGGGGTCAGCACTACCAAAGGTAGCTGGGGGAGGGGGGGATGCTCGTCCCTTTGGCCCCATTTCCCTCTTCTCCCCCCACCTCTGGCCCCAGCCCAGACACCCACCTCTGCATCTGTACCTGTGGGCTACCAGGGGCTGGGAGGGCCTGAGGCTCTCTGTCCAGCCCCGTGGGAGGCTGCTGCTGAGGGGGCCGACCCCGCGGGCTGGGTCTCTCAGGGGAGGAAGAAACGGGGGCTGCCACCACCACTACTTGCTGAACCTGTGGGCAGGGGGAGGCAGCTTAGCATTCCTGGCCAAAGATTCTCCCCCTCCCTCTTTCCCCAAAGTCTCTTCTTTATTCACTCCGAAGCTTTCATTCTGGTCTCCGAGGCACAGTCAATGTTATCAGCTGGCGAGGGAGGGACAGAGCAGACCTTGGGGTAAGGAGTTAAGGCTGAAGTGGGCGGGGGGTGGGGGAGTGGGTAATTGGATTTCTAGTGATACACTTTATGCCTAGCCCAAAACTCTGGTTAGCTGGTTCCTGGGCCTCAGAGTCCCAGGGACAAGGCAGATTTAGGGCCAGAGACCTAGCTCTAGTCCCTGAGACACGACCCATTTCAAGGTGACCCTGGAGCTCCAAGAAAGCAGGGGTCACTCTATAGAGTTCCAGCTCTTGTGACTCTACCCCTGGCTCATCCCCTTCCCTGCATGGGACAAAACACCTCCAGCCTTGAGGAGGAAGAGGAGGAAACAGCTGGTGAGATGTGATCGTCTAAATGACTTCCACCCCCGGCAGCCACAGCCGCAAGGCGGGGGGTGGGGAACGACATACCGGGGGCCTGACTGGAAGGCTGTTAACAGTTCTGGTGAAGCGGAGAACATGGCCCTCGATGGGTTTCTGGGGCCAGGCAGGGGGCCCAGAAGAAGGCAACTTCAGGTCTGGGAAAGGTGGCCCAGCTGGAGGCAAGGCCCGAGTTCCTGGAGCCTGGGCAGCCTGAGGGTCCCAGCGGGGGACCAACTCTGGTTCCTGGGGATTTAGGGCCGCTCTGGAGTCTGTAGCAACAAACACCTGCAGGAGAAAGGTAGGGGAGCCACAGGCTCTGAGGATGACCTAGGACCACGAGGTCAGGTCCCGTTTCTCCACTCTATTCCCCGGAGCAGCTGAACATCACAGGAAGAAGTTATAAAATCACACTGATTTTACCCACGACAAAATCCTAGTATGTAAACTCAGCCAGGCCTTCCCTGCTAAGAGATACTTCTGTCCTACTCTGATAGGCTCCTTATCACTTCCGCCAAAGTAACTGCTGCAAACCTTCTCTTCTTCCTGTCCACATCTCCCAAATACAGATGACGTAGTCTTTTACTTCATTCATTCATTCATTCATTCATTCATTCATTCATTCAATGCCTGTAATGTGCCAGGAACAGCACTAGCCACTGAGCCAGGTAATACAAGGCCCAAACCCAAAAGAGTCCCTGCCCTTAGGGTGTTCACATCCCCCCAAGGGGGAACCACATGAACCCAGAGCAAAACACACCAAATCCATACAAGTACAAATAATCTTCCGGGGGTAAGAGGATAGGGAGGACCACCAGGGTCTGACAGCAGGGTTTGGAATTTCCTTGTATCCCCCAGTGAATAGGAGGAAAGAGAAAGGGATGGGAAGAAGCATTTACTAAGTGCCAACTACATGCCAGGCACTGTGCTAACCACTTAACAAATGTCTTCTTCTCGTTGTCTCTTTGGCACAGTGCCTGGCACACAGTAGGCACTCGACATTCATTCCTTTCCCTTCCCTCCTTCCCTCTCTGTGTTTCTCTGGGTAGCTGTCTCTGTCTCTCCCTTGCTCCTTTCTCTGTCTCTCTCCCCTCTCCACCCTCCTCCTTCTCCCTTTCCTGCCTCCCCAATCCAAAAAATTCTGTTGACCTTGCTCACTCACCTAGCTACCAACTCATCTCTGTCCCTGCCTTCACTGATAAACATCTCCTCACTCCATGTGCCCCTATTGCCTCTACTGTCTCCTCAACCCTTTGCAATCAGCCTTCCCTCCCTTCCCCCACCCCATACTCCTCTCTAGCCAATGGATTCTTTTCAGTTCTCATCTTTCATGAAATCTGTGTAGTATTTGACACTGTTCACCACCCTCTCCCTACTGGAAACCCTCTTCTTCAATATCACTCCAGTACTTCTCCAGTACCTACTATGTGCTAGGCACTGCCTTAGGGGCTGTGGATAAAAAAAAAAAGGCATGCTAGTCCTTGCCCTCAGGGAGTTTGCAGTCAAATGAGGCACATTTGAAATATCAGAGCTCTTTTTCTCTCCCCTTTGGAAGATCCTCAACCTTTCCAGGACCCATTAATGTGGCTGTTCAATAAAGGGCTCCTTTGGGCTCTCTCTTCTTGCTACAGTCCCATAGTTTCAACTACCGCTTCTAGGCAGAGGGCTCCCAAAAAGAATAAGTGGGCGATATTCCTGATGTCCATAGTTTGGGTCCAAACACATTCGGACTACTGCACTTAGTTTGGGGTTCCATACTTAAAAAAGGTCATTGACAGCTAGAGAGTGAGTGTCCCAGGTAGGATGGATACAGGACCATATATCTAGAACTGGAAGAAACCTTATTAAGTCCTCAAATCCAACCAACCCCCTCATTTTACAAATAAGAAAACTGAGGTCCACTGAGGGCAACTGATATTCATAAGGTCTAATGTCACACAGGGTGCCTTGAGTCCATGCCTTATGAGGGTCTGCAAAACAAACCGGTTGATAATATGCAGGAATGCTGATGATTTATACAGATTTTATGTGCTGCAATTTGCTGAATGTATTGTTTCATTCATTTTTTTGGTTGATTCTTTAAGGTTTTCTGACTAAATCACCGTATCATATGCAAAAAGCAATCGTTTTATTTTTTCTTTGCCTAAGCTTATTCCCTCGATTTCTCTTTCTTTTCTTATTGCTATCCACAGTTCATAGATATCTATAGCTTATTACAATACATAGTAATATGTTAAATGGTAGTGGTGAGAATAGACACCCTTGCTTTATGCCTGATATTATTGGAAAGACTTCTAACTTTTCTCCATTACATATAATGGTTGTTCTTGATTTTAGACAGATAACATTTATTATATTAAGAATAAGTCCAAAATACTATTAAGTTTAAAAAAAGAGAATATGTCCACTTATTCCTATGGTTTCTAATGTTTTTAACAAGCAAGTGTTGGATTTTGTCCAAAAGCCTTTTGGCAGAAGGAATTGGGTTGGTTTCTAATGGAAAAGAGAAGTCAGGGCATGATACTTGAAAAGTTGTCATGCAGAAGGAGTGTCCATCTTCTGCTTGGCCTTGGAGGACAGAACCAGAACCAACATTACAAAAGAGTAAATTTCAACTTCATGTCTGGAAAAATTTCCTAATAATTTATTTTGAGCTGTCCCAAAGTGGGATGGGCTGCCTTGTTTGGTACTGGACTCGGGGTTAGGATCCCAGTAAACCAACAAAATGTTATGGTCCCTGGGGGTCCCAGGGAGGATCCCTTTTATTGTTGAATAAACAGGCACAAGGAGTCTTTAGTACTGGAGTTCTCAATTCTAGATGGTGCTTTTTTCCCAGTGGGAGACACTCACATTATGCCACCCCCACCCTCAGGGGTTCAGAGAAACCCTGGCCTTTCTCTACCTGAGGCTTCCTAAGCTGAGCCTGCTGCCTAGGGGCCTGGAGGACCTCCTGCTGCTGCTGCTGCTGCCGACGGCTGGCCCCAGCCTCCTGGAAGCTGGGCATCTTCTGCAAGGCTTCCTTGAGCTGGCGGAATTCCTCCATCTGGGACTAGAATAGGGGACAGAGTGGGGCCAGTAGGGTTGACCTGCCCATGTCTCCACTACTCAAATAACCAGACCTTCTCTCCTGTCACTGGAGGGTCAAAAGGTCAGACATTTAGAGACCTTAGAGGGGAAGGGGGAGGGGGAGAATGGAACAAGCATTTATTGTGCTAAGCACTTTACAAACATTATCTCATTTGATCCTCACAATAACCCTGGGAGGCAGGTGCTATTAAGATCTCATTTTATAGCTGAGGAAACTGAGGCATGTAGAAGTTAAGTGACTTGCCTAGGATCACACAGCTAGGAAGTGCCTGAGGCCGAATTTAAAGTCAGATCTTCCTGACTGCAGATCCAGGGCTCTACCTACTGTGTCTCCAAGCCGCCTTAGAGACTAGTGAGTCTACCTCCTTCATTTTACAGCTGAGGAAACTGAGGCAACAGAGGTTAAGTGACTTGCCCAGGGACCACACAGGTAGAAGGTAACAGAAAGAGGCAGAATCTTAACCCAGGTGTTTGGACTCCAAACCCAGGTCTCTTCCCCACTGGGCCATGCTGCCACCTCCGGCAGCAGGGATGGTGGACACACCTGGCCTGCCTCTCACCTGGGCATTCCGCAGCTGGATGTGAATATCCTGGTGAGCCTTCCTCAGGAGCTTGCTTTCTTCTTGAAGTTTATACACTGTGTCTGTGGGGTAGGAGAGTCAAGAGCTGAGTAGGCCAGGAAAGGGAGCCTGCCCCCTTGCCCCACCCCCAACGCCACCCCCCACCCCTCCCACCCCCCTGCATCCCTCTGCTGACTCCTGAGAACCCATCAGGCCCAAAGGAGATTAATCATGGGCTCAGGGCCCTCCAGAGGCTATGGCTTCAGGCTGGCTCACTGGACCCTCCGAAGCCACCTAGTAAAACCTGGTTTGAGACAAAGGTCTGCTTCCTGTGTGTATGTATCCTGTCCCCCTGCCTTAACCCACCCCCGTGGCTAGGACAGGACTGTTAGATTAGGGGTCCCCTGGAAACAGGGCCATCTCTGCCCTCTGAGTAGCAGCAGCTCCCCCATGGGAGAGACCGAGTCTTCTCTGCAGACCAAGTGTTCTATGCAAGCTGGGTATTCTTACCTCCTCCTCGTTCTGAGGGTTCCATAAGAGAAAAGGCCCTGCCCCCTCCCGAGACTGGGGCCCCCTGAGGCCAGGGGCCCCCTCCCCTTCAATCTGGGGCTCCCTGAGGCTAGGGGTCCCCCTCCCCCTCAGACTGGGGCTCCCCAGGCCAGGGG